AAAAAAAAAAAAAAAAATCAAAAGAAAAATGTACATACATTGAAATGCTCCCTGGATTTTCTAGTCAGAAAGAATCCTTTTCTCCTTTTAAAACATGAACTCCCCTACCCCCTCCTCCCACCTGGCACCCTCACTCTCCATCTGTCCCCATGGATCTGACTGCTCCAAGAACCTCCCTTTCCCTCCTGTGATGTGTTATCCTGTGTGGTTCTTAGTAGTCTCGCTCCCTCACTGTACTGTTCTCACCCAGGGCTGACCTGTGCCGACTGCACTCCAAGGCCAGAGCGCCTGTGCTGGGCGGGCAGTGGGGTGCTTACCTGCTGTCTGTGTTGGTGTGAAGTCACACTGCTGTTGAGTGGCCCTTATCTGCCCAGCCATTGGCTGGCGTGACAGAGTCCCCTCCTGAGCTCGGGTCTGGAGAGTAGCCTGGGAGGCCTGGGTCTCAACAAACATCGGCGTGAGCACAGTGCTTGGGCAGCGCCAGCCAGAGTCAATGGTGTACTCCTGCACATAGTAAGGACCCCAGTGAGAGGCTCCTCTCTTGCCAACACTGAGACATTCTGTTTAAAATCCACTGATGCCATCAGCAGATGTGCACTATAATTTCATATTTCTCTGGAAAGCAGCTGGACAAGCGTTTCTAATTCAAATGTTTTAACTAATTATTTATCAAATAGAAAACCTAACTACTATTTGGGGAGAAAATCCATTTTCTTAATGTTTTACATTAAAAGGCTGATGTCATCCTAAGCAATGGTATCACAACACTACTGCACCAAGCCAAAGGACTCAACTGTCCCGCAAACACACACGTGCCAAGCCCCAGGACACATGTGAGGCATGGTCATGAGTGGGACATATTGGGGGAACACCAAATGTGCAAGCATTCAAAGAAAGAAGATATTCATTAACAAACAAGAAAAGCTTAACACTCATTATTACGGACAAGCCATCACCTGAAATTCACATTCTGACAAAGGATGCTCAAACATGGGGTTTGGATAGTCTGGGCTCAGGCTGGTCATCTCAAGCAGAAAATCTGTTGCCAAACTTAAGAAGTGCACTTCAATCTCAGGAGAATATAAGGAGTTTAGTGCCAATAATCGGTCCAAGGCGTTTGAAGGTAATCTAGTTTCATGGCTCCAGAAATTCCGAATAATTAATCTAAAAGCAGAGAGAAAAGACATGCACTGCTTAGACACTTCTGCAGAGAAGCTACTGCACTAGTATGATGGGGAGAGGCCATTTTTCACCCACACAAGGCTCAACATACAGGGAGACCACAAACTGGGTAGAGAGAGTCATCTGAGCTACAAAAGCAATGTGCTCAGAAGGGGACATTAAAGTGTGTGTTACAAATTTAAGAGGAGGTGAAGAAACTGGGTGACTTTATTCTCTCATCTCTATTCCCTGGGAAATTTTCAATGATAAGTACTTAACATTAGCTATTTTTAAACTGAAAAAACACTTTAAGAAATTATATAAAATTTGGGCAGCGCCTGTGGCTCAGTGGGTAGGGCACCAGCTCCATATACTGAAGACAGTGGGTTCAAACCCGGCCCCGGCCAAACTGCAACAAAAACATAGCCGGGCATTGTGGCAGGCACCTGTAGTCCCAGCTACTCGGGGGGCTGAGGCAAGAGAATCGCCTAAGCCCAAAAGCTGGAGGTTGCTGTGAGCTGTGATGCAATAGCACTCTACCAAGGGTGACAAAGTGAGACTCTGTCTCTAAAAAAAAAAATTATATATAATTCTATACTGCCTTGATAAGATAATTTACTCTAAAAATTATTGTCATTAAGTATTTAATACTTTAAATTAGTTAAAAACAAGATCAGGCTTTTATGAACGCTTATGAAATCCAAAAACAATTTTTTTTTTTTGACACAGAGTCGCCCTTGGTAGCGTGCTGTGGCATCACAGCTCACAGCAACCTCAAACTCCTGGGCTCAAGCAATTCTCTTGCCTCAGCCTCCCAAGTAGCTGAGATTTACAGTCGCCTGCCACAACAACCAGCTATGTTTTTTTTTTAGTGACAAGGTCTTGGTCTGGCTCAGGCTGGTCTGGAACTGGTGAGCTCAGGCAATCCACCTGCTTTGGCCTACCAGAGTGCTAAGATTACAGGCATATGAGTAACCATGCCTGGCCATCAAAAACAATTTTGAAAATCTCAATGAATTTAAAATTATAGCAGAATGGAAAAATAAATGATATACAGAAAAGCTTATGCCCCTTCTTACATAATTAGTACTTGCTATGAGGTAGGGCCCTTTAGAGAATAATCATTATCTTTCCTATTTTCACACATAATTAACAAGGTTTCCTCCTACTTCTAAGGTTTTTATATACTTCATTCAATACAAATATGTTAGGTGTGATCTCAACACTGTTGGGATGGCGGGGGCGGGGGGGGGGGGGGGGGGGGGGGGGGGGCGCGGAGACGATGGGAGGAAAAGGAGACACCTCTGTTGCCCAGGCTAGTCTGAAACTCGTGGGCTCAAACCATCCTTCTGCCTAAGCCGCCTGAGTAGCTGGGATTAGAGGTCTGCGTCTCTATGCCCAGCTTTCAAGTTTTTCTTTTCATACTGAAATACTTTAACTCACTGCATTTGCGGAGAGTGCTTTGTCCACACTACTTTTCCAAAAGTTTTATTTTAAACTAACTTGTCGAGATATGTTAAATCATTCTTCATAATGTGATTTACAATACATTTTTACTAAATGTTACACAATGCAGGAGGCAGAGAAAATGTTAATACTGCAAATACATTTCTTAAACCAATAAAAAATACTCTAGGCTAGTTTTCGCAAGAACATCTATCACATTTAACTGTCCTGCCCAATCATTCCCGGAGGAGTACACACTGAAGCTCAGGGTTCTCATCAATCAGTCCTTGAATCAGCACGTCTTTGGCCAACTTAAATATTTCCTGAGAGTCATCATCTGTGTGACTTTCTGGATCTCTGTTTAATAAAAAATCACAAAATGACAAACATTAATACCTCTTTCTAGCCTTTTTGTTCAACCCCAGTAACACTGTCTAGAATTAAAGTAAAAAAGACTAGCTTTTCCCATGGGGCTATAACACTCGAAATCCCACGAGGACCTGTCATGTGTGTGCACGGGCCTGACAGACTCCCTCAAACCTTAGAGCTCTGCATCATTGCTCCTGGAGGGTGGGAGGGTTGGGGGTGGCCACCCTGCCCTGGCATGCCTGGTTGAGGCATCCTGCCAAGTTACTTCCTTTAGTTCTGCCAGATCTTAAAATGATTAACTATGAAAACAAGTTTTATAAGTAGGACATGTATAAGCTTATAAATGCTTATAAGCTTAAAAAATTATAACTCAACCAATAATTTCACTCTCTGAACATTTCCCCCCCACACATGAAATGAGTTAAAATAAGGAAAGAATTCAGTATGGGTATGAAAATGAATTTAATTACTAATCACATGGTAAAAACGCTTTATTATGTTCTAGATTGCTAAAGACACCCAACTGATCCCTAAAACAAAATGTCAATATATAGCATACCCATAATTGTCATGAATCCACATGAGAATATTATACATCCGCTTCCTGCACACTGCAGAAGGATGGGAAACAAATTCCACAACTGGGGATAGCAGTTCGTGGAGTTCTCCTGGTTTCAATTTTGCCATCATCTTATAAATTACATCCAGACACACTTTTTGTCTTTCATCATCTCTGTAAGAGAGAAGTACGACAGGCAACTTTTTCTTCTTTGTGCGATTGTGTAGTTTTGAAACTTGTTATTATCAATAATACAACATTTACATTAAAATTACATTTTTAGAAGTAATTACCATGGGCTAGATTTTTAAAAGTAAACAAATTAATACAATGTGCTATCCTGCAATGGGTCCTAGAATAGAAAGAAGACATTGGGAAAATAAAGTCTAGTTCAGTTAATAAGAATGTGCTAAGGTTAATTTCTTCGTTTTAACAAATGTACTAAGATTATATAAGATGAGAAAACTGGAGAAAGGGTATGTAGGGAATTCTATATATTCGCTTTAAACTTTTCTGTAAATTAAAAATTATTTCAAAATAAAAAGCTTATTTGAAAAAAAAGTGATATGGCAAACAAAATAAGCTAAAAATATAAAAAAGTTTCGATTTTAGGCTGGGAGAAAGCTGCTGCTGGCTTATCATGTTATTTCTTTACTCTTTTAATCCTAGCACTCTGGGAGGCTGAAGCAAGTGGATTGTCTGAGCTCACAGGTTTAACACCAGCCTGAGCCAAAGTGAGACTTCGTCTCTGAAAAAAAAAAAAGGCCAGGCGTTGTGGCGGGCGCCTATAGTTCCAGCTACTGGGGAGGCTAAGGCAAGAGGATCACTTGAGCCCAAGAGTTTGAGGTTGTTGTGAGCTATGACTCCACAACACTGTACAAAGGATAACAAAATGAAACTGTCTCAAAAACAAAAAAACTTTTTTTTTTTTTTCAGATTTTGAAACTGCCTCAAGTGCTATATGGAGTGTCACTTAGTGAAGTTGCATGCAGCGTGGGTCTCTTGCTTGGTGCACCTCACCCTTATAGCACCCAGCTGGGGGCTTGACACTGCAGGTGCTCAGTGAGTGGTTACTAAAGGCCGAAGGGACACAATGGCACACATTCCCTGTCACTGCCACACTGCTTATTTATGAGTAACTTACTGCCATGTAAACATAGGTATATAGTCCAAGACTGGGAAAGAGTAGAGAAAGAACACGATAAGCCAGCAGGAGTTTTCTCCTTTTCCTTTTTTTTTTTGAGACAAGAATCTTAGTCTGTCGCCCTGTGTAGAGTGCTGTGGCAGCGTCATAGCTCACAGTGACCTCAAACTCTTGGGTCAAGTAATCCTCTTGCCTCGGCCTCCTGAGAAGCTGGGACTATTGGTGCTCCCCACAATGCCAGCTAGTTTTCCTACTTTTAGTAGAGACGGGGGTCTCACTTTTACTCAGGCTGGTCTCAAACTTCTGAGCTCAGGCTATCCACCTGCCTCGGCCTCCCAGAGTACTGGGATTACAGGTGTGAGCCACCTTACCTGGCCTTATTTTATAATCTAAACACACATGAACAATTTTAATACATTAACTAAAGGAAAAACAGGTACAGAACTCAAAAGCATGTGGTTTACATTTGAAGAGGGTTGGAGATAGCTGTGTAAGCCACATGGTGGGCACGGCCTGCAGGTTCAGCGCCACTCAGCGCACACTCCCTATTACACTCTCTTCCCTTGCCTTCTCCAATTCTAACTCCACAAATACACATTTCATGGAAGCTGCAGCTGAAGGAGAGGCTCTGGCAGGTTAAGGCCAGCAGGACAGTGTTCACTCACCTGTGCCTCACGATTTGAACAAAGTCCTTGCTCTTTAACTGGAAGTACAGGTCTGCTGTTTCCTCAGCACGGCAAAATACCACCTCCAGACACAGCGTCTTCATCACTCCGTGAAACTTTGGCAGCAGGAAGAACACGGTGTTCATGAACCTGGAGGGGAGGACTGGTGAGGTGGGGACTACGAGCCCCACCCCACAGGTGCCTGAAAGCCCCTACCTGTCAGCAAGAGGAGGGAAGCTCTTGGTGACTTTGTTCAAGCACACGATGAATTTGTCCTCCATAGTGTTCTGCTGTTGCCTCAATTGTTTTATAACCAAGTCACACACAGACTCTTCCAGTATCTGAAAATTAAGTTTCTTTTCAAATACATGTAAGGTGGAAACTTACATTAAGCATTGAGAATAAGGTTTATCTTGAATATTTAAGTGAATTGAAGGAAAGTGTTCAATGTTTAACAATAAGGCTCACAAAACAAATGAGAAATAGGAGGTGCTGGGATGTCCACTGGGCAGCACGACTGCCACACGCCCTGACTCCAAGCTCAAGGACAGTGTTTGTAGGGGGAGGGGTGAGACTGTGCCTCAAGTGTTGGTGCTATGGCTGGCTCCTGCCAGACAAGAGGACACCGAAACACTACAAGTAAGATCTTCGAGAAGCTGTGCTGAAGTCAGTGACTAAATGCTATTTAAGACACATTTTAAGATGTTCAGGTCTTTGGTCAAAACTATTTACATAGAACAGAATCTTCTAGCAACTCCACGCACACAGCAGCCCCCGAAGGGGCCTATGTGCCCACATCCATTTTCTCCCCAGCACCTGTGGGCACAGGGAAGTAGTATTACAGATTTGTCTGTGTCCTGTCTCCCTCTCCAGACACCAGCTCCTCAAGGGCAGGGACACGGCCTGTCCTGTTCCCTGCTGCACCCCCAGGACCTAGAAACAAGTCAGTCCTCAGAAGTAAGTGTTCAAATGCATAAGTGCTTGGTAAAGTCTATGAAGGAAGTGATGGAAAATGTTTGCATCCATCATGCATGGCTCATCTTCCTCCTCACAAAGATCAAAAAAAGCACTGAGATTGGAGGAACAGTTTTTGAATACAAACTTACAATATGTTAAGCATCCCAAAACTGAAAAATCCAAAGCTCAAAATGTTCCAAAATTCAAACTTATTATAGCACTGACCTGACACTCAAAGGAAATTTTCATTGAAGTATTTTAGATTTTGGATTTTCAGATATGTGATACTCAAACAGTAATAAGTATAATGCAAATATTCCCAAATCCAAAATCTGAAACACTTCTGGTTCCAAGCATTTTAGATAAGGGATATCTAAAATATACTATGAGGCTGTAGTATGAACACCAATCTATACTATGAGACTATTTTTAAAACCGTGCTAAAGGAAAATCCTAAACACAAGACTGCCAATTCCAATGACCTGAATCCCATGGAAAATATTTTAATTAAGTACTATGTTACAGATTCACCAGATATGTATTTTTCTTTTTCTGTTCTTGGAGACAGGGTCTTGCTCTGTTACTCTGGCTAAGGGGCAGTAGTGTGGTCATAGCTAAGTACAAGTTCAACCTCCTGAGTTCAAGTGATCCTCCTGCCTCAGCCTCCTGAAGTGTTAGAATTACAGGTAATTAGTAATCCCAAACCCAGATGTGTCTCTTTAGTAAAAGTATTTAATCTGATAATACAATGAAATGGTCATAATCTAGCAAGTAAAGAAAGCAAGCTAGGCTGGCTGCATGGCTTACATCTGTGACGCTAAGACTTTGGAAGGCCAAGGCAGCATTGCAGGACACAGGCCCATAGGACTGAGGAGGCCTGAGAAGGGCCCATCCCTGCTCAATAGCTCTGTAACTCAGCCCTCACCTCAGTATTTACCTGCTCAAGTGATTTTCTCCAAAAGGAAATACTGAGATCAAGTTTATAGCAATGAAACCTGGTTAAGTACTCATCCTGACTTTATAAAACTTGACCCTGGACAACTGCAACAAAAAAAATAGCTGGGTGTTGTGGCAGGCGCCTGTAGTACCAGCTATTTTGGAGGCTGCGGCAAGGGAATCGCCTAAGCCCAAGAGCTAGAGGTTGCTGTGAGCTGTGATGTCACAGCACTCTACCGAGGGCGGCAAAGTGAGACTCTGTCTCTCAAAGAAAAAATATTATTTCAATAATCCCAGCACTCTGGGAAGCTGAGGTGGGTGGACTGCCTGAGCTCAGGACTACGAGACCAACCTGAGCAAAAATGAGACCCTAACTCTAAAAATAGGTGGGCATTATGGCAAGTGCCTGTAGTGCCAGCTACTTGGGAGACTGAAGCAAGAGGATCGCTTAAGCCCAAGAGTTTGAGGTTGCTGTGACACCAAGGCAACAAGGGTGAGGAGGCAAGACTGTATCACGGCAGACACCAAAGACCCATGACCTGGAACAGCTCAGAGGTGGTGAGTAACAGCTCTTCAAGTCTATAATAAAAAATGGCCTCCAAGAAAACTACATTGCAAAAAATGAGAAAGAAATAGAACAGAAAGAGCAAAAAGGCAGAAAAGGCAGAACCTGAAAACTGTGTGGTGGGAAAAGCACTGGATGGCCACGCAGTAATGGGAACGGCATTCCCTGCGGGGAGGGGTTCCCAGGTGCTGATGATACTCAGGGACCTGGAGAAAATTTTCCAGAGTTAGCTGAAGCATTTCTTAATTCTCAAAAAGCTGGTAAAGAAAAAGATGGCATAGAAAGAAAATCTTTATCCAACACTGAGTCTGATGATAGCAAATCAAAGAAGAAAAGAGATATTTGTTGAGGAGCCAAGAGGCTCTGCCGGACTCGTGACCCTGAAAGAGAAACTGGTGCCACCAACAGTAGTGGAGAATTAATGCTTCTTACGAAAATGGAAGGACTTAGAACAGGTGCAGTAAAAGAGGCTAATATGAAGTGTCCTCAAATTGTAATCGCTTCTTGTGAAGAGGGATTAGTTTGGCATTCTTATCCAGAAGATAAAGCCTAGTAATAATTTCTGTGATGCTTTACATATATAAATACATACAAACACACACATATACATACACACGAAATCTCGGTTATGCTTCATTGATTGACTAGTGTGAAGACATAACTACATTCCAATAAACCAAGTTTGATATGTTTGTTGAGAAAATAATAGTGAGAGAGATGCTGGGGGGGGGGGATGTTTGCATCAGTAGCATGGGTATTTTTGAACAAATAAACAGAAGCTTTCTCTAACTGCTTCCCTTATCAGAAAAGGACATTTGATACCATAGTGTAGTAGTATTCCTTCTGCACTAGAGAATAGCTTTTCTAGGAGAAATTTCCATAGCCATAATTCAATCAGAACTTGTGTTTTAACTCACATGCCTAAAGACCACCCTTGTTTTTTTTTTTTTTAAAAATTGTTTTTGGGCTCAGTGCCTGTAGCTCAAGTGGCTAAGGCACCAGCCACATACACCTAAAGTGGCAGGTTCGAATCCAGCCC